TTACAGTAACATTAGCTTAGCTTTTAGTATCACAGCAACGTGCAAGCCACCGCAGTATGACAAATTAATATGCTGATTATTTACCTGGTTCTTCACTGTCTACAGGGAAATTGTCTCTGACTTCTTTTTAAAATCAGTTTCAGTGTTGTCCCTGGTGTACTTTTCTAGGTCTTGGGAAGACAGAAGCATGGTTTTGCTTAGAAGGTCCAGATAGAAAAAACTTTCGATGTCTTACATATAATGAATAGTCAATAGATTTTAATTTTAAGGATCTCTGGAGGTGCAACAGTTGAGCACTAGGCTGCTAAACACGAGGTTAATAACTTGAATGCACTGTGGAGCTCTGCAGGAGTAAGACCTGGTGGTCTCCTTGGAACGTTGCATTGGGGAAGCTCTACTTCCTCAGTGGGCTGCTAGCAGTCAGAATTGACTGGATGGCACCTAACAACAACAACACAGTTGAATAATGCTCAATTCAAAAGATCTATCCAATACCTACTCTGAGCAATTAGGAGTATAGACAATTATACAAACTTAGACAATTACGCACCATATGAAAGATTAATTTTTGAAGACAGACACTAATGGTGTGTACTTTCATCATCTGTAAAATGACAGCGATAACAGAATTTGTTGGAAGGAAGGTATTTTCTAAAACACTTTTCATCTTGCAAGACATTTTGCATGCACTGTATTGTCTGTATTTTACATCTATTTTATAGGTGAATGAGCGGTTTAGCTATTCTTGGCAGTTCTCCACCTAAGGGTCTATAAAATGCCCCCATCCTCACCTCACCAAACACACACCACTGCTGTCCAGTCTATTCAAACTCAGAGTGACCCTATAGGACAGACTGGAATGATCTTATTGGGTTTCCAAGGCTGTAACTGTGTACAGAAAGCTGACTGCCACATAATTCTCCTGCACAGCGGCTGGTGGGTTCAAACTGCTGGACTTCTGGTTAGCAGCTGAGTGCTTAACCACCGTACCATGAAGGCTTTTAGACTGTCTACCACTTCTTAATAATTTTCACAATAGCCAGTTGTTTAGCTGAGGATTAGGTCTCTGGGTAAAGAAGTAAGAGTAAGTGGAATTAAATCTGTTCATCTATTCAGAACTGATTTGCTGCCAAAAGCTTTTGTTAGGCAAACAGGGAAAAGGTAATACAAATAATTATGATTTATTAGATGAACTGCTAAGCTAAATTCTACACTCTTTTGCTCACATGAAACCCCCTTGGGCTGAAGAACTGCTTTCAGATAAAATTTAATTTTTTTCCCATCCAATTACCTGGTTTTTTGTGTTTTGTTTTGTCTGAACAACACCAGAATAACTCCACACTTGGCTGAATTTATTCAACTGGCAACATTAGTTAGGCATGTCAATAAAATATCAACATAACCCATTAAAAAGTGGACATTTTTGAAACCAGTGTCTTGATCTAATTCCTAGATGATTTCAATTTTCAGTTCATGAGATCACAATTTTCTTTTCTTCCAAAATTTGACTTTAAACGTCTTCAGAAGTGTAGATGTTTAAAGGCTTTAAAATGAGTTAGCAGTACCTGGTGTGGCGCTGTAGGATAAGCACTAGACCACAGGTCGGTTTGAACTGCAGGGTTCGTGGTTCAACCTCAGCAGCTGCTTTGCAGAAGCCCTATATAGTATCACTGAGTCGGAATTGACTCAAGGGCACTTAACAACAACAACAACCTTGTTTGTATTTGGCATGGTGGATCTACGTAAGACAGTTCTGCTGCGTCAGAGGAGTTTTATAGATAATTAATATTTGATAGGTTAACAAACAAAATGAAAAACAACCTCTGAAAAGGAAGTACTAAGACAGGTGAACACTTGTAACTTTCTAAGGAAGACAGAGAAATGTCACATTTTTGGATCTCTGTTCTTAATATTTCTTCTCTTAGACTTCTGCTGATTTGAGGTCAAACATCAGTTCTAAACATGACTCAACCTAAAAACATAGCTGAAAGCATTTTTCCTTCTAATCATCTATACTCAGAACTACTGGGCAGGCACAGTTGATTCTGATGTATAGAAATCCTATAGGACAGGGTAGAACTGCTCCATAGGGTTTCCAAAGCTGTAAATCTTTACAGAGGCAGATTACCACATCTCTCTCCCATGGTTTGACTGGTGGGTTGGAACCACTAACCTTCTGGTTAGCCACCCAGTGCTTAACATACCACACTAACAGGGCTCTTTGTCCAGTTATGTTGTTGTTCTGTTTAGGTATCATCAATTTGGTTCCATCTCATAGTGACCTTAAGTAAAACAGAACAAAACACTGGGTGACCCTGAGCCATCGTCACAATAGTTCTGCTTGACCCCTCTGTTGCTGCCACTGTGTCAATCCATGTCATTAGAGGTCTTCCTCTTTTTCGATGATCTTCCACTTGACCAAGCATGATGTCCTTTTCCAGAGACTGGTCCCTCCTGACATTATGTCCAAAGTATATCTTGCCATCCTGGCATCTATGGAGCATCCTGGCTGTACAGATAATCATAATCCATGCAACACAGGGTATTTTTAGGAAAATTAAATGAACGATTGTGTGGGAAGTCCATATAGGATGAATATTCTAGAAGTGATTGACGTCTTTCTGCTCTATGATATCCTCTTTGGGGCCTGGCTTAAATAGATATTTAAATAGATATTATTGGTCAGATGAAAGATGAAGATGAATGCACTTCTTCAAACAAAGGGTCACATTGAAGTGACCAAGGAAAAAGACAAGCTCTCTGGGTATTCACACATAATAGGGTGTTTGACTGAGACTACTGTTAAGTATTTGCTGACCTGCAGCCCAGCTAGCTCAATTCCTTAAATTTTGAATTTTCAGCAGCAAAAGAAGGAAGAGGACCTTTCTCACGAATTCTTTGGCAAAGAAGTAGCTTAAACTGAAAATGAATCTAAATTCTAAGATTTTAGTCATTTCTGATTTCTAAGTATGCTTTGCAATTTTTGGCCTTCAAAAATCAGAAATAAGTGGAGTTTGGCTACTGTGTCAGTCAGTATTGATTAGGCGTTATGCTGAGATAATACATTTAAAATCTCAGTGCCTTCCAGAAACAGAGGTTTCTGTCACACTTATGCTACGTACATACTGAAGGTTCTTATTGTTAGGTGCTGTTGAGTTGGTTCTGACTCATAGTAACCCTATACACAACAGATCACAACACAGCCTGGACCTGTACCAACCTCACAGCTGTTGTTCGATCTGAGCCCATTGTTGCTGCCACTGAACCAGCCCATCTAGTTGGGGGTCTTCTTTTTTTTTGGTGACCCCCCACTTTACCAAGCATGATGTCCTTCTCCAGGGATTGATGCCTTCTGATAACATGTCCAAGGAACAAGCGAAGTCTTGCCACCCTGGCTTCTAAGAAGCAAGCTGGGTGAGCTACTGCCAACATTTGTTGGCAAGATTTGTTTGTTCTTCTAGTAGTCCATGGTACTTTCAATAGTTTTTCTAAGACTATTCAAATGCATCCATTCTTTTCTGGTCTTCTTTATTCACTGTGTAACTTTCACATGCATATCAGGCTACTGAAAATGCCAAGGCTTGGGTCAAGTACACCTTAGTCCTTAAACTGACATCTTTGCTCTTGAACACTTTAAAACAAGTCTTTTACAGTAAATTAGCCTAAGGTTCTTGTTACTGTTGTTTTTGTTAAGTGCTGTTCAGTTGTTCCGACTCATAGAGACCCTGCATAGGGTTTCCAAGGAGCTGCTGGTGGGTTTGAACTGCAGACTTTGTGGTTTACAGTCCAATGCTGATCCTACAGCACCATACCACGAGTCCAAGTTTCCTAGCATTGTTTTTGTTTTATCAGGGGCCATGCTGATAAAGCAACCACTCTCTGGAATATGGGGACAATGGTGGTTTAGTTGTGGAATTCTCCCTTTTCATGTGGGAAACCAGCATTTGATTCCCAGCCAGTGGACCTAGGGCACACCCACCATTCTTATGTCAGTGAGTCTTGGTTGTTACTGTGATACTGAGCAGGTTTTAACAGAGCTTCCACACTAAGACAGATTAGATAGAAAGACCTAAGATTCTACTTCCCAACATCAACCTATGACAACCCTGTGGATCCACAAGTGATCATAGGAACGGTTCTGAACTGGGAAGTGCTTTGGTCCCCTGTCCATGGGTTGTCATGAGTTGAGGGCTAACTCTATAGCGACTAACAACAACATCTAGAACATTGCTAGCTTGTGGAGGAGGAAGAGACAGAAAAACAAAACAAAATAAACAGCTTGAGGAAGGATGCACGTCAGCAATGAAGTGTTCTGATTTGGAGGCGGGGTACACTATTTTAACCGCCAAAGTCACTAGCTAAAAAACTCACACTTCTCCACATCCCGTTTTTCTTACCAAAAGGGGCTGACAACTACAGTCTAATCACGTGTTTGGTACGGAGAGCAACAGAGAACAATTGGCAAGCAGCAGTAACAACTACAACATTGCTCAGTAAACATCCTGCTAAGGAGCTCTGGTAGTGTAGTGGTTACGAATCGGGCTGCGAACCTTAAGGTCAGCGGTTCAAAACTACCAGTAGAAAGATCAGGCTTTCTACTCCCATAAAGATTTACACCCTCGGAAACCCTGTACAGGGTCGCTATGGGTCGAAACCGACTCGACAGCACTTAACAACAACTTTTTAGTCGGCTTTTATTTCAGCACAATGTAGGGTTTTGTGCAGTTTTTTTTTTTTTTTTTTTTTTACTAGATATTAAAAAGGAATAGGAAACAGAAAGCGTGGGAGCAGAGGCCTCCTGTCTATTGTCCAGGTGTGTTCTTCTAGTACATTCTTTAATGGTCCTGTCAGCCTACCCATTGTCATGCTTACTCTGCCTGAAGGTTTGACATTTATTCCAAAGAGTAGTGTGCAGTTGTCAAGTACTTCCTTGTGAATACAAATTCAAAGAAAATTCTCTTCAGTGAGTCTAAGGAGGTTGCTACTGACCACAATTATACCTCTTCTGTAAGTCCTGAGGGAATGTCTTGGGCCGGGCTTCTAACTAAAGAGAAGATGAAAAACACTCACATTCACGCACATTAATAACTTCTATGCACACCAGCTAAACACAAGGAAGGTTTCTAAGCTGTGATCCTAAAAGAAATAAAATATTTGACAGTAAATAAGTAATATCTCAAAAGTTGCTTCCTCTGGTGGGTACCGCTGACTCCAAAAGAATTTTTTATCCATAAACAGGTGGGCAGAAATCTTGAAAAATGCAACAAAATAGATTTTTTATTAGACATTCCTTTAGGTTAGTGCTTTCTAGTGATAAATAAGTCTGTTTGAGTCTTATGTGTTTCCAGTATAAAGTTAGTCTATTTTCTTTCAAGTTCAGATGAATGTTAAAGCAGGCTTTCCGCATAGTCCCTGGTCCAACCTCACTAGTTTGCAGTTGCTGGCTGCCATCTAATGGACCCTCGACTCGTGGAGACCCCATGCTCAGAGGGATGGAAAGAAACGTTGCCCAGTCTTGTGCCATCCCATGACCAGTTGCAGATGGTATCATTGTGACCCACTGGGTTTTCAAAAGACGCTCACCAAGCCTCTCTTTCTAGTTTGTTTTAGTCTTAGAGCTGTATTGAAACTTATTCAGCATCGTGATGGTGGTGTTAAGTGCCATCGAATGGGTTCCAGCTCACAGCGATCCTGTATAGCATTTCCAGGGTTTTTTATACCTTTGTAGGAACAAAAAGCCTCATCTTTCTCCCACAGAGTGGTTGATGGGCTAGAACCAGTGAACCTTGTGGTGCATAGTCCAGTGTTTATCCTAATATCTTAAATGTTAGTATAATTTTTAATCTAAAAATGCTTAAAGTTCAAACAAACAACAACTTGAAAAATGCTTCCTTGAATAATAATCCAGGGCCCTCTCATGTTGTTGTGTAAGTTGTGAGAAGTGGGAAGGAGAATGCCACATGAGCCCTGGGAGGACCCATCCCAGTGTAGTAATCTCCAGAAAAAATCATCATTGTAAGCTTTCCCAGGTGAGTGTTTGGCTAGTTACCATTGAGAGGATCTGAGTCATGGCAACCTCATTGTCTTAGGCTGGGTTTTCTAGAGAAACAAAACCAGTGAAACATACATATGTATATTTATTTAGAGAAACAACATAGCAAGGTGAAAGTCCCCACTGACGACAGATGGCTCCTGATTGCGCTTGGGGTATACTGACTGAGAATCAAAGCCAGGTTTCCTGCATTTTTGTTGTTGTTAAGTGCCATCAAGTCGTTTCTGATTCATAGCGACCCTGTATGTGGTTTCCAGGAGCAGCTGGTGGGTTTGAACTGCCAACCTTTCCATTCAACCAAACTTGCGGCCCAGTGCTTATCCTAAAGCACCACATCAAGACTCTAAACTCTAGTGTAGAAAGAAAGAAAGAGGTAAGTAAAGTAAGTGTAGGAGTCCTGGGGTGGTGCTGTACGATAAGCACTGAACTGCTAACTACAAGGTCAGTGGTTCAACTACACCAGCCGCTTCTCAGAAACTCTATACAGGATGCTGAATTAGAACCGACTCAACAGCACTTAACAACAACAAAGTAGTATAATCACCAGAGCAATGTACTTACCAAATGCCCCTCAGACTAAGACAGAGCTGACATGTTAGAACCCTTAGCTCCTGTCTGCTGTTACAGAGGTTTCTTTCATTGTCACTATGCCCCACAACTGAATTCCTAATTACATTTTATTGTCGGTGTTAGTGCAAACTGACAGTGAGGCTAAGGAACTTTGTAAAGAACAAGGTCTTCATGTACCTATTTTCTAAGATTCAAAGAAATTGTTTTCTGAACAAGAAAGTAATAGTACAGGGCAAAGGAATGCACATTTGGGGTAACAAAAAAGAACACTCAAAAATAAAATTGAATTTATCAAAATTAGTCATGAAGAGTAGATGAATTACTGTCAAGTTTTAAATTTAAATTCATTTGACACCTGTTTTCCTACTTCATAGTTGATTATTTAAGAGGTTCTGACAGAGTACTGCCAATGTACAGACTGAATGGAAATAAAAATTCTAAGTTTATTATTTTCATTTTTATAGAAGAGTCTTCAAGGAAAGTAAGCAATGTTTTGAAAGTATTAAAGCTGTAAGTTTAGAAAGGTGAATTTAAAAAGAAAAATCTTGATAGGAGAGTGATAAATCAAGAATTTACTTGGATCCATAATCAACATGCATAGAAGGAACAGTCAAGAAATCAAACTATGTATTGTGTTAATCAAATGTGCTGCAAAAGACCTCTTTAAAGTCACTGTAGACTAAGGTGAGCCTGACCAAAGCCAAACATTTTCAGTCACCTCATATGTATGTGAAAGCTCGACAAAAAATAAGGAAGATCAAAGAAGAATGGATGCTCTTGAGCTATGATGCTGACGAAGAAGAGTCTTGAATACACTATGGATGCCAAAAGAACATGTAAATCTGTCTTGGAAAAAGTGCAGTCAAAATGTTCCTTAGAAGCAAGGATGGCTACACTTTTTCTCACTTGCTTTGGAAATGTTAGGAGGAGGGATTAATCCCTGGAGAAGGACATCATGCTTGGTAAAGTAGAGGATGAACAAAACAGAGGAAGACCCTCCACAAGATGGACTGGCCCTGTGGCTGCAACAATGGTCTACAACAAACAATTCTGAGGATGACGCCATGGTCAGTGGTTTGTTCTGTTCATAGTGGTGGTGGCTGTGTGCCACCAGGTCAGTTCCAACTTATAGCAGCCCTGTATGGGATTTCTGAGGCTGTAAATCTTTACAGGAACCAAATCCTCATCTTTCTTTGGTGGTGCAACTGGTGGATTCGAACTGTTGACTTTGAGGTTTCTGTTATACATGGTGGTGGTGGTGGTGGTGGTATGCTGTGGAGTCGGTTCTGACTCATAGCAACCCTGATAGGATTTCTGAGGTTGTAAATCTTTACGGGAGCAGAAAGCCTCATCTTTCTTCCACAGAACAGCTGGGAGTTTCAAACTGCCAGCCTTGAGGTTAGCAGCCCAACTCATAACCACTACGCTACCAGAGCTCCTTTCTATTATGCATAGGGACACAATAAGTTGGGACCAGCTCAATGGCACTGAATAACCATTCTTTTTATTTTTATAGAAGAGTCTTCAAGGAAATTAAGCAATGTTTTGAAAAAAAAAAAAAAAGCTTTAATTTTAGAGAGGTGATGTTCTGTTTAAGAACATTTTTATAAATCAAGGCCATTAGTAGCATGTTTCTTTTTTAAAAGGGCTTCAGGGATATTTCATTTCCTTCTGCAGTCACCATCTACTTACAGCCTGGCTGATTCAGGTGCTTTTGAGAAGTTGATAGTCATCATTTCTGTGAGTCTGTAGAGTGTTCTGATCTTGGGATATTAATTTAGAGAGACCAGGTGAATGAGAGAGGGAGTAAGTACACAGCCCTTACCTTTAGTGTAGTAACACTTTTCTTATCCCCTACAACTGTCTAAAATAATTCTTTTTATAGAATTCTTTTCTATGCTAGTTACCCCAAAATATTCTGTGGTAGTAAGTTCCAAAAGTTAATTACAGGTCATATAAAAATACTGTTCTTGTATCTATTTCAAGTTGGCCATACCTCACTCTTTCTCTGTACTTAGATCGTTTACAGATGTTGCTAGGATTTCCGATTCATGAGTTCCTGCTATTGTGGGTTGCTAAGTTTTATTATGATTTTTGTTTTCCTTTCAAAACATGGTGCTTGTATTTGCATTTTGTCTACCCAGACTATTCACACCAAAAATGGGTCCTTGGGACTGTTTCAGTCTTTCCTCTCCTGCCATGTAAAATCATTCCTTCTAATGGTTTTAAAGACCATGTTGTTGTTAAGTACAGTCAAGTGAGTTCCGACTCATAGAGATCCTGTATGAGTTTCTAAGGAGCAACTAGTGGATTTGAACTGCCGACTCTGTGATTCAAAATGACCTTGTGGTCCAACGCTTATCCTACAGTGCCACACCAGGACTCCACTTAGGATGGTCTTTATGTTGATGACGCTGATTTTATCTCACTTCTTTTGTACTCTCAATTTTATTTTATCCAAATACTTACTTGGCATTTTCATTGGAATAGTTTACAAAGCCATAGCATTTGTTAAATCAGAAATAAACAATTGATCCCCAAAGCTACTATCATGGACTTTTGTGTTCTTTACTCAGTAGCTAGCACCATAAAAAAGGTCAGAAAGCTGGTTCTGTTGAGCTTAGATTGTACCTCCAAAGATCAATATATAATTTGGGTTCATTTTTGTTACTCTTGTAAGCATGGGCATTTATACAGGTAATGATATGAACCACAACTGTAAAAAAGTACAAACCACTACTTAAAACAATTGTCAAGTAGGTAGAGTGCAGTATTTTCAAAAAGGCCAAAGCCAGTATCAGAATTTTCTGTCAAAGCATCCACAGGAATTTCTGGAAATTTATCCAACACTCCAAAAAATGTCACCATAGCTTGTTTCATGAGACAAATGTTTAGTTCGCATCAAGCACTGTATGAATAATGGGGCTTCACACATGACTAAAGGAGAAGTTGTGCTCTCAGTGAGAAGCTATGTTCTCATGGAGTTCATACGTTGCTTGCCACGGGGTGGTGCTACCCCATATGAGATGTTCTGGAAGTCTGGGGAGGAAGGGCATAGTTGTGGTATTAGAATGATTGTGTAGTACTAAGTGTTCTAGAAAGTGAAGAATTAGCCCACGTTCCACTACTAGCAACTTATATAATATAAATGAAATGTCTATTTAACGGTATTGGCACCTAGATCCAAACTCCATTTTATATGCATGCAATGTGCTTTTTACATGATTTTTTTATGCATATTGAATTTTCCAGGACTTTAGTGTAGTGGTTACGAATCGGGCTGCGAACCACAAGGTCAGCAGTTTGAAACTACCAGCTGCTCCGCGGGAGAAAGATGAGGCTTTCTGCTCCCGTAAAGATTTACAGCCTCGGAAACTCTGCTTAGGGTCGCTGTGGGTCGGAACCGACTCGACGGCACTTAA